AACTGCTCAGGTAGACTGAAAAGGTTTTATTTTAATCTTATTTTTTTAATGACTGAAGAGAGCTATCCTCTCTGTCCAAAATAGCATTTTTTTAAATTACATTTAAACTGCACATGTTTGTTACCCAGGGAGAACTCCTCGAATAGGACCTAGACCAGTTATATACTGCATAGTAGAAAGTTTGCCAGGTGTGTTGCATATTCAGTCAAGGAAGATTCTACTTGGTTTTGTGTTAATGGTACAGTTCGTCAGTCTCAAAGCTGCTATAAATGATCTGGGTAGAGAATGAATTTCCAGAGAATCTGCAACTAAATCAGATAACCTTAACTTACAGTAACTAGAAGGTCGACATATAAGAAACCTTATACCCTAAGTGAGGTTGGTTATTCTGTTTGTTTTCCTCTTTTTGTTAGTATCTGCTGAAATCTAATATACTGGACTATATGTGGAAAAGTCTTTAATCAGTGATACTGTTACATTGTTCATTAACTAAGAGCTTGAATAATTCATTATTCTGTGAAGTCATAGTCAGTTTGTTGCTCCACCATCCATCTAAGAGAGTAATATTTGTCAAAGAGAGCAAAATCAAAGAAACCTTTTGTTAAATGGGCAAAGTAGCTTCAGGTATTCCAAACCTCTCACTTCACCAAGAAGTGGCAGCCATTTTGAAAGAGGGCGGTTGTGGTGGCATTCCCTTGGGGCGGGGTGGGGGGGATGCAGAAATGAAGAATAATATTGAAAGAACCTAGCCATAAACAAAGCTGACAGCTTTAATTAATTAATCACTGCTGTCAGTTTTTATACCTCATCCAAGGATGGTGGGTTTTCATCAGTCCAGGAAGGCTGAAATAACATGCAGATTGTAGCCCACGTATCTGACCACCTCCAGAATCCACCAGAATGACACAGTTGAAAACTTGCAGGTTTTTGGGTTTCTTGCTTAAACGGCTTGCTGCTGCAGAGCAGAAAGCCTAGTATGCAGATTTTATCTTCTGAGAAACATAGTAAGAATGACTTTCCCAGAGCAGATAGTCTGAACTTAGCAGTATTATAAATATTTGCTCAAGAAAGGACTTAGGTGTAGTAAACCGAGTCCTAAGCTAGTATTAGTACCATCTTAGCTCACTGCAGGATCGATTTATGTCTGTTGGATCTGGATTGGGAAACACAGGGTGTGGGGTGGTTCACTTCCTTTTGATGACAGAAAAGCCAGAATAATCTCACTTTTGTGGTGGACTTCCAGCATTGTTTAGCTGGAACTGTTACACGTGCCAAAACAAAGTCCTTGTCCTATGTTTAATTGGGAATGGCTATTATCCTGTTTATCATGGGCCTTTGTATCAACTTCGAACTACAGAACGATCGGAGGATTGTCCAGCAGGTTTGACCTCAATGTTACACAGACAGGCTCAGTTCTCTCTGCCACCAGAATGTAAATTCCAAATGTTTGTACTCCTTGGATATTATGATCAGATCCCCAGCATGCAGCAGGATTGGCTTATCTCCGTTGCTGATTGTTACAGTGGAAAAATACAGCTGCTGCAGATGAATATGAGAATGAAGACTTCTAAGACAGAGCTGCAGGATCTGCCTGATACCCTGCATCCTAGTGATCTGTTCAGTCTTTAAGTGTACCTTATGCCTTCCAAGCAGGACAGATAATAGTGCCCTTAGTTGGTTCTCATCCATGCATGAAAGAGGTAATTAATTAGACCATGTGACTTCATGCTTCTAGTATTACATTAAATGTAATTTGCTTATTCCCACAGCTTCAAACAGGATTTGAGATAAACAGAATTTTGATGTCTTCAGTACCATCTCAAAAGGAACCCAAAAATGAAAACGGGAAGGAGAAAAAAACTAAGGAGGTAACATGAAAGTGTTTATTAGCATACTGCTGCTGATAGCATCTGACTCGCACAGAGATAGGAATTTGTGAAAAACAGTCATGTAAGAGGCACTTGATTTGTCTGCTGCACTTTACTCCATTTCCAAAGTGAAGAACAGTGCTGAGTACCTCTTTTTTTTTATTTTGCTTTGGTAATTAAAACTGGGCTGGGGCTGGTAACATCTCACTGGAAAACTTTCCCTTACCAGCATGACAATAACCCGCTACAGTCTTACTGCTATCCTCCATTTCCTGTCTTAGCTGTCTTTCAGTTTATCTGGCAAAATTAGTTTCCAAAGCAATTTTAACCAGGCATCTTAAGATGGTGTGTTTGGGGGGGATTGCTGAAATCAAGAGAATTCATTTTGCAACATATGTAACAGGTCAGTCAGAATTTTGCAACTGTGGTTTTGCAAACTTAACTAAGCAGTGCTCAATTTCTTTAATGTCAATCTATTTGTCAAACTATCTGCTAAACACATCTGGAATAAAATTTACTTGTCTCAGCTGTTGGGAAGTTCCACTCCTTCCACGTACAGGAGGGAAATTACTTTTTTTAAACCAGAGGGAAACTGGTGATGCATTTCACTGCTTGTTTATTGGAATTTTACTTATAGAAAAAGTTTAAGATTGTGCTATTGGGTCAACAGATTGAAATTTGTTGTCTTATTTTTCCTGTCTATCTTATGGCAGAGAAAGCCTACAATGAAGAAAATGCGCCTTTCACAATTACATGTAAAGGCTGGTGAACTACCTTTTGTGGCTGGGAAGGTGGGTGAAACCAGATGTTCTCACTAAGTTGACATCTACAGTTTGAATAAGTCTCTTTACTGTAATTGTTAATCACTTCTGTAAACAACTTAATAATTCTGCTTTAAGTCTGTCAGCTCCAGCCATTCTGTTAGTGCGAACGTACAAAGTGTGTTGCATATTATGAAGCATTGCAATCCACGTATTTCGTCACAAAGCCAAAGAGCAGCTACAACTGGGGTTTCAGGACGCACTGCACTTTCAAAATCTGGATCCTCTTGTTCCACATCACCTGTTGCCACCAGAAGTCTTTCAGACCTTCTGTTAGCCGTACAAGATGAGCTGGGCCAAATGAGCTTGTGAGTACTCATCCCTGCTGTTATGAGTAAAAGTGACTTCAGTGGTAGCCCTGTGAAGCTACAGGTGTGCCATAGTCAAACCTAGCCTGTTTTAGATGTAGGACTACTTGTTGACAGAATGGCCTGAGCAGGCCTGACTGGTAGGACTTTTCTCATTCAAAAAATTGTTTCTATCCTGGTGTTTAACTGATCTTGTGAGCAAGCAACATTCAGCTGGGTTTTTCTTCTTCCACGTCCTATACTTAACTATGCTGCTACTGAAATAACAGCTGCAGTAAATGAAAAATCTTTCAGGCCTGTGCTTTTTAGAAATTTTAAACGTGTTCTGAGGTCTACAGAGTAGGCCAAGAATGTTCTCCTGGAGAAGGCTGCAGAGGAGGTGTTAATGTTGAGCAAGCCTGCAGCATGCAGTCAGTCTGTGTGACAGAATAGGTTAGTACAGCTGTGGCAGGAATCGTCCTGTCACAGCATCTAGCCTATTCCTTTGTGCTCTTTCTGTGTTCCCTCTGTGTGTGCGTACCTGATGGGTCTTTGTGCTGAGACAATCTGGCGTTCATACCCTTTCCTTGTTGACAGCAGGAGAACTTGCCAGTCTTGTAAGGGGGTTGTGAAAGAGGGACAGTCTCCTACCAGAAAATGGGCAGGGTGTGGAAGAAGCTAATGCATTCGATGGGAGTGTATGTATCTTTCTAGCCATGCAAATAAACGTGGGTTACAACTTGTCATGTTCTTAGGCATCTTCCCATTAACGCAAGGTTGTAGAATTGTGGGCCAAAGCTATGTAGTTTGCCATAGTAGGCAAGTCAACATGATGAGCTGTGGTTTGAACAGGGGAGGATGTGTTGGTTAAACCAGTTAGAATGTTGACACTGATTTGAAATCCTTGATGTGTCAGAATTTAAATTGGCAACCAATCTCTTCTTCAAAAAGCGATGTTTAACTTACTCATGGCAATTCAAAGACAGGCTTTTTTTCTTTTTTTTATAGCTTCAACCAATTGCTTTAATTAAACTGTCAAGGAGCAGCGGTTACTCAGAAGTCAAAAAAGAAGCCGTGACCTTTGTAAAGAGGCTATTTATCTAAGAGAGGGCCTCTGTTTCTGACTAGTTCAGATATCTAGGTATCAAGTAGAGCTATGCAATTTCTTTTAATTAAGGTGGTTAGTTTAATTAACCAGCACACTTTGCTGCGAATCTTTTTGAGTAGAATATTTTAGTTTGAATAATCTGTCAGAAAAACTAAAACTTAAATGTACTAGTTTAAACAATACTTTTCAGTATTACCCTAAGCTTTCAAAATCTGCACTAAATTGGACAGGAAGTGAAAATACCATACTGCATAGCTGCTGTTTACTTGCCAAATTCTCGTTTTGCATACTATTACACAGGTAGTTGTTATGGCTGTGGCAAGAAGGAGGAATAAGATGCACATCAGCTAGAAATTTGGAATGAGAAAATCAAACCCACTGGAGAAACTTTTTCTTCTCTAGTGTGAATATATTCCAGGGTGAGAGGGTAAATAATGCTAAATTGCTATACTCTGGAAAAAATGGCTAGCAATTCCTGCAATAAACTGAAAGTATTAGAAGAAATCCTAGAAACTATGTCATGACTACTTAGTGTGCTATTCTTGTCTGTAATAGTGAGCATCAAGAACTTCTGAAGCAAATACAGGAGATTCAAGACTCCAAAGTTCGTGAAGACCTAGAACGGCAGCTGGATTGCCTTCTAAAACAAATGGAGATTAAAGGAGAACAAATATCCAAGCTGAAGAAGCGTCAGGCTACTGTAAGATTGAAATATGAACTGTCTAGCTAGTAACACACTAGCTGCCACAACTCTGCCTCCTGTTGTCATTAACTAGAATGTCGCTGGAATGCTTAAGCCAGGGTGTTCCAGTATGGGTGATTATAATTAGGCTACTAGCCTGGTGTTCTTATACCTCCAATTCCTTCTTTCGATCAAGAAAAAATGCTTACAGCTGGCAGCTGGGTATCTGTGCTGGTGGGAAAACTGCCTGCCCTGTGGCAGTTCTGCAGTACAGAGCTGGGTTGCTCAGTCTGTCACTTCTGCTCACTGCGTTAAGACAAACCGTTGAGATTTCATTCCTTTGTGTCCTGTCCCTCTGGGGAATGAGAAAATAGAAGCTATAATTCCTGTACAGACTGGGTTAAATGTCTTTTATAGTACTGAAATACTGAAGCTTTTTATTTAACAAAATAGTCTGTTGACCACAGCTTCTCCAAAGTCACAGCCAGACAAGCCTTTCAGTTTTGTTTAACCCCTAACCTGTATGCGTTCTGTCAGTATTTGTTTTAGAGCTATAGATAACGATTTTTCACACATGCCCATATAAAATCACTCTTCTGTAGATGAACAGCTTATCCCTTTTGTAGCAGTTTGGTTTGGAACATGCGATAAAAAATGCCATCCATAGTTATGTCTGATAGTTTTCTGTTCTTCCATCTTACATTTCAGGATAGATAGACTCACCTGTAAGAACTTTGCTTATACAGGAAACAAACCAAACTCGGCGTGAGACCTTATGAAAGGGGGAGGTGATAGTTAATTTAAATCTGACCAATTTTATTCACGTTCATTCTTTGATAGATTTTACTCACTCAAACCTTTTATTGTCCGTGTAATTGCAAGCACAAAAGTGCTTATGTCAAAATAGGCTTGTCAGTGGTGCATGTTAGCAATATGGATAAAGGACATTGACTGTCGAGTCCTCACTGCCTCTCTTGGCAATGTCGACTGTTTTTTTGGATAAATCTCTTCTATTGTTGAGGAGCCAGCAATTATGGTGTTATTCCTTGCCTCAGAATCTTGCTGACTTCATACTCCAGGAACCTTAGACAGTGGACAACAACCGCACCTTTGTTTCTTCCTTTTGCCTATCTTTATGGCTACAGTCTGCCTCCATTTTGGGATGATCAGAAGAGGAATAGGAGATACGATGTGGTGCAACCTTGTTGTCATCCTTGCCTATTATCAGGGTGCAGATCTACTGACAAGTCATCTGTGCCTTATCAGAGCACACGCCTCAGGGTCATGATGTAAATAGCACATTCTTCATGTTTGTCTGTTTGCTTACTCTCCATCCTGTCCTGGTTATCAGTACAGGCCGCTGCTGTAACCCTTGGCCTGTTATCTTTCTTTATGGTCCTTTTGCACACATTCATTTATATTTGTATTTTGTACAGACCAGTCTTAATGTTTCTGATGCATCTTTCTGCTTTTAGAACCTGTCACGCTAAAAATGCTGCAGTCATCTCTGTGTTTCACAGTTAATAACGTGTTCTAGAATGCAATTAAAGTTAATTATTTTTAGAAATGGACTTAAAGCCTACATTGGCATATGGAATGCTTCCAGCCTAATTTTGTCTTCGGGAGTGACCTTTTCATGCCAAGCGCAAGCCAAGACTTACTATTTGACATTTTAAAAACCCATTCTTTAGCAATCAACCTTATTTATTCTGTTTTCCAGTTTTGTTATGAGGCTTCAAAGTAAACTGCTTAGATACAGTAACCGATAATAAACAGTATGCACTTTACAGGTTTGTTGGGCTTTTTTTGGTTAGGCTAGTACAATCTGAAATGGAAAAAGACTGTTGTAAATACAAATTGGTAACAGATGATATTCCATCTCTCTCAAGCAAGCATTTTTACCTTAGGGAGTGGTGGAGTTCAACAACCTATTGAGTGTGGGTGAGGTCAGTTTTCTGTATGCTTTCTGTGTGGGCGAGGTCAGTTTTCTGTAGTGCTTTCTGTTACAGCAAGACAACTGTGTGCAAGTTTTGTAGGTTTTGACTTTCTTTTTTTGTTATGTCCCTTAGACATCTTGAGTTTGGAGTTTGGTAGAAGTCCAGTAAGCTCTGCAGCTGTAGGTCTTCTGAGTATGTTGCATTCTAATTAGTAATCTTTCTTCCTAGGTGCAGAAATTAAAGAGAAAAACTCAGAAATTGAAGCAAGGTGTAGCTCATGTTGAACTACAGTGTGCTGACCAAAAAGAGGCAAAGGAGAGTGCAGTCACTGTAAGGGAAAGTGTGTCTAAATCTTGTCCTGGGCATAAAAGCAGAAGCTGTCTTCAGCTGCTGAGAAATGTGCGGAAACTTCAGTCAACACTGAAAAAAGATGCCATGTGGGAACAATAGGTCTGAAGTTTACTGTGTTAGAAGTTTTTGAAGTTGTCTGACAGCTAGTACATTTTTAATTTCACAAAATACCTTCTAAAAATAAAATAGATACAGCATAGATGTAGATATACATTCTAACTGCCTGCTCACTAGTAGGTCAGTTTGTTCACCTCAGAGTTAACTTTCATGTAGGGCAGTTATAATTCAACTACACTTACTTATAATAAAGTGTTTTAATGGATTAATGAAATGCTTACTTGTTAACTTGTCAAATAAAGTTTTGTACCTTTTTTACACTTAAAACAATATGTGGTCTTTGGTGTTCTCCCTGCTGCCAAGGAGATACTTAGAGCTTGCTTTTCTGGGATGATTTGGGCTAGTGCTTCTGTTCGAATAAAAACAGTGGTTTTCCTTTTCTCTGAAGATTCAGATCATTGCAACTGAGGCAGAAGAAGAGGTATTGTCTCTTATTTAAATAAATTTTCATTATTATTAATATTATTACTCTATAAGCTTCATTGACAGTCTTAGTATTAGAGACATCTAATTCCAGGGATTGGAAGCGCAAGCCGTGACTTAATTAAACCGTGACAAAATGAGAGTGTACTTGGTAGAGCGCAGGGAAGGGGCCACTACCAAAAGCTTGGGTGCTTGTCTTCTCTTCAGAACCTGCTTATACCACAGTATAAAATAATGGAGCTGTTATAGAGGAGACCTTGAACTACATACTGATGCATGTTGTGGAATTTGTGATCTCTCCTACCAGTGTTGTACAGTTTTCATGTGTACAGCAATATTCCATACTCATACAAATGCAAGATGGGTCTTTATGCTAATGGAGTGTCCACTCTTTTCCAACCGCCACTGTGTACATGTGGTAAAAGACATAACTGTGTCTTTGAATCAACACTGGTTATTCGGTTGGAATAAATTCTTGTCTTGAGATTACTGACTGATACTGATTTTCCTGGGTGTTTGCATATGCCGGGAAAAAATAGCTTCCTTGGGACGTGTCAGTGAACTTCTGCTGTAGATCTCTGGTATGAAGTGAATGTAGTGGTCTTCTCAAGCCCCTGCGCAGGTATGAATAAAAATTACAGGCATGCTCTGTTGTCAGAATAGGTTTTGAATAAAGGCTAGTAATAATGTATGGTCCTAGTAGAAAGTTGGGTCTTTGGATCAGTAATTTTTGCTCTGGCATCCAAGACAAAAGATTAGGAAATTTTTCAGGCAATTAATTTAAATTTAGGATAAACGGTTACAATCTTTGACAGGAGTTGTATGTGTGAGCTTTTGGGGGTAAGAAGAGGAGTTTATGTGTACTAAACATTTTTATCAGGTCTGTGGAAGAGCAGGTCATTCAACTGATATTCAGGTATGGGTTTCCTACACTCTCTAAATTGTATAGACATCCTTCTTATGGATTATCTCTGGCTTAGAAAAGCACATTGTATGCTTAAAACCTCTTAAACAGAGTTCTAAACATGGTATTTTCCTGGTATAGACAGTGTTTCTGAGGTAGGTTTATGCATTTCTGGACACTGGAATCGCTGATACCAGAGGGGAAAAAAAAAAAAGGTAAGCATTTCTGGTTTTAACATTTTCAGATTGTAGGTATTCTGCTGTCACAAGATAGGCCTTTGCCATTCCTAGGCGTAGTTAAATAGTCTCTGAAGCTCTGTACCCATGTGTGAGAGAACAAAAAAGAAGGGCCTTACCAAGCCCTAAGGAGCCTAAAGCGTTGTATTTCATCCAGAGGTCCAGCCCTAGACATTGCCATCAGGCATTGGATTGAGAGAGAAAAATTGCCAGCAATTTGCCCCAAATGCATAAAAACGGGTGGAGTGACTTTGCATGATGGCAGAGGCAGGAGTGAGAGCAAGAAGTGTCCCGGGCTTGCGTCTGGGGGCTGGGAGGCCATCACAGCTCCTATAAGCTTGGCGTTGCTAGAGGGACAGCTGGGCCTGTCTGGGCAGGGAGCCGCCACATCAATCACCTGCTACCTCAGTGCCTTGACCTGGTATTTTTGTTGACAATAGAAACCAGGGGAGAGAGGGCCATTTTGGAGCTGGAGAAGGAGGGCCCTGGCTCCTCTCTTGGACAAGGGGCTGTGGTGGAGGGCAGCAGCTTTGGGTCGGTCAACCAGGTACTGGATGGGGTAGTGCTTAAATGGTGGAAGCATTGAATAGTCAGTTTTCAAAATGTGTGTGCCAACAGGGGCTGGCCAGTCCCAGAATATAACTGCTCTGCCTGCCTTTCTGTGGGGTGAGTGGCTGGCGGGAAAGGGAAAAGGCTGAACCCGGTCCTGTCAGCAGCTGGGCGTTTCACACCTCTGCGTGCTTTGGAGGAGGATGGGGAGCTGAAAAAGCTGTCTTGCTCAGAGCCAGGAGCTGGGATTTGAGAGGTGAAAATAGGAATGGATGATATGCGAGCTTACATTAGTTGACAGGGGTACATCACTTGTGTTTCAACTCAGAAGATTTCATTGTCTTTTACTAGTTCTTTAGTGCTTTTTTTTTTTTTTCTGGAGCTTTTATTTCTCTAGTGCATGTATTTTCGCACACTAAAGCAAAGCAGATGCGCTTCAGCATGGGCTGAGAGAGTCAAACTGGATACAAAGGAAGTGTATCCCAAGCAAGTTTTCTTGCTTGAAGAAACACAGAAAATTTGTTTTCAGATTGTATCTTAGGAGCGGGGGCTAGGGTAGGAGATCAGCTTATGTACTTATTTATTAGCATATTCATAGTTTGAGGCAATTGTCAATCACATAAAATAAGTCTTCAAAGAAATACGCAGCAATGAATAATTCTGCAGCAACTGCAGTGGTGAAGTTAAGCTTGTGCACAAGTGATGAGGTTCAGCTCCGTGACAATTAGGCTGCGGATTGCAGTGAGTTTTGTTTGCATCTGAATGCATCATGTCTTATGCTCCAAAAAAGTTCTGGCCTGGAACTCCATAAACGTACATTTGGAGAAAGCACAGTGGCCAGAACAGGCTTCTTCACAAGAAAAATATGTTTTGGCTTAATAAGCACTTGCTCTACTCTTTTACAGAACCTTGTTTTAATTTGTGTCCTGCACGTTTTTTTGTCTTCTCAGAGAAAACTGTATATTTCTTTTTTTTTTTTTTTAATGAATGTTTTGAATCTAGCTGTACAGGGCAGCAGAAAAAAACCGCACAGTGATCCCAAAATAGACTAATTGGTTTATTTACTCAAAATCTGAGTTCTTTTATGCTGACTTATGCAAAATTGCCACAACAGGTTATGTTAGTATTTGAATCTGGGGTCATATTTTATGGCTAGACATTAAGGAAATTGGACAAAAGATGTAGGTCAAACAGTATAATTAAAAATACAGACCAGCAAATTGTATCCAACAATAGTTCACTTTCCTGCTGCTAATGAAATATGCTTGCACAAATTAATGGCTTGTTACTTAAGCCTGCTGGAAAGACTTTGTCCTAGTACAAAAGGCATTCAGTTTGAGCATGTGTGTTACAATCTTCTAACCAGCAAAGCTGGAGGTTGGACATAGCTGTAAATCCAGTGTGTTCTGGGAATAAAAGCTGGCAAAAACACTCCCAGCAAAATAATCAAGGCAAGATCTTGCCAGGATTTGGATACTGGCTAACGTAACTAAGTGCAGATGTTTTTGCGGACTAAAAGACATTCCCAGAATACAAATACTGTACAACACATGATGATTTTTATTGAAGAAAAAAACCAAGCAAGTGGGGATAATAAAACATACGGTCTTATTTCTGATGAAGCATTTTCTGTTTTCCTCAGCTTTCCTGTACTGAGTGGGCAAGGCTGCCTCTACCATATCCCCTGCTGCAGCCTGTTGAAGCTTCTGAAAGTCACTTGGGTTGCAGCTCTGGTACTTACCTAAAGGCCTCTATGGGCTCCCCGTATAGGTCCTGTGGTCTCTCTTCCATCAGCAGAGAGTAGTAAGCATTTCTGAAAGCGTTACCCTAAGGTAACAGCTAAAACGGGTCAAATGAATCTTAGCCCAAATGCCTGGTTCTCTCTACTGACTACAACAGGAGTCTGGGGTGACTGGTGAGCTTAAATGAAGATATTTATACTGTTCAAATTCTGGTAAATTCTGATCTGTGCTCTGATTTCTGGAGATCAGGGTTAGCTCTTCAAAATTGCCAGAAGTACTGGGTAAGTCCTGGGCTGCTGACAGCCGGTGCATTGTCCTGCATACAACCGTTTTTCCTCCTGTGTTCATGTCAGCCTCTTGTACGTTGGTCTAATTGTGGGTGGGTGCCTGTCCTGAGAACACGCGTGCCATAACTTCCCCATGAGGAGTAGTGTCACTGATCTGAAACTAGGAAATGGGGGGGCTCAGTGCTCTGTGGTTCAGGAAGACACAGACTACTATAGGATTTTATTTTGCTGGTACTCAAGATGATTTCTTTTTGCAACCTGAATTTATTTATGGGAAACTTTACTATTCTGCCAAAAGTTTTGCTTTATACCCAGAAGTGGTAATTTTATATTCCTACTACATCACTGCTAACCTAACTTCCGTGTTCTCAAAAAGCTGAGCTATGTAATTCCCATTATTTTTATAGCCATGTCAGAATTATTTTTATCTGAACTCCACTGCCTGCATAGTGCCATCATTTCTTTTCTCTTGGTGCCTTCTTACTTACATAGCTGAAGAACTGCCTACTCTTTCTTTTCCTTAGCGATTTTTATTTTAGCTGATATTTCTTGCTTTAGTTCTAGGCTTCCCAGCCCTCTCTTTTTTAGTATTTTTTTCTCTTTGTTTTCCCCTGTTTTGGTTCTATGCCTACTCTTGATGACTTACTTCCAAACTGTAAACTATACCCCCTGCTTCTACTTTGAGGGCAAGTTCCAGTTACCTTTTTACCATTGGTTTAAAGATTCTCTAGCTTCTCCAGTGTTAAAATCCTTGAGGTATTAGTTGCCTGGGTTTTGTAATTACTTTTATTAATTTCTCTAAATTAGCCCTTTTAGACTTTAACTCCTCACATACACTCTG